TTGTAGGGGAAAAAAAAAAATTGGTGGGGCGTGTTTTTTTTTCACCCCCCCCCCCCCACCACCCCCCCCCTTTTTTTTTTTTTTTTTTTTTTTTTGGCATGTCACTTCTAAAATCAGTTGGACTGAAATTTGTCTTTTAAAATTTGCTGTTTTGAAAATCAGTTTGAATAAATGTGTGGGGCTTGAAATTTTTTGGAAGTGGGGTTATTAGAACTACTATACTATAAATGGCTATGATGAAAACCCCTGGTTCCATAAAACCAGTCCTTTCAGAATGGACTTGAGCTAAATATATCACTAATATTTGGTAGAACTCCAAAGTGTTAAATAACTGTTTGGATGATTGTGTTTGGGGGGGGGGTATAGATATTACTTGTTTTGGCCTATAAAGCTAATGTCACAAGTTGTTGGTTTTTTTTTTTATTAATGTGTATTTTCTAGATGTTCCTTTTTCTGTATTATGTGTCTCTATTAATTTAGCACCTATGAGCGCTAGCCCTGGAACAGGACCCCCATTGTGCAAATTGCTGTACAAACACAGAACAAAGATGGTTCTTGCTCTAAAGAGCTTATGGTCTTAAGTATGAGATAACAGGAAGATACCGACAGGGGAGTACGAAGAAACTAGACCGCATTGGACAGCATGATAAGTAGTGGTCTTTGCATACCAGGAGCCTAACAATGGTCTGTTTTTTTGTAGGCCTCATGGCAAAGAAGGGTTTTAAGTAGAGATTTTGGAGGAGGAGGTAGCTCTGTGGATGGTTGGAAGGAGTGCTTCCAGCATGAGACAAAACGCGAAGGCGCTCATTCGAAAATGTAACAAGTGAATGATGAAGGCTGGCGTCATTGGCCGATTTGGAGGCAGGAGCTGATATCTTAGTAGTGAATGAAAGATGATGGGTAGAGTGGGAATAGGCCATGAAGAGCCTTGAAAGTGAAGACAATCAGCTTACCTTTGATGTGATAAAGAAGGGGACGCCAGTAAAGGGATGCAAAGTCAGGGGTGATGTGATCCAAGTGACAGCTAGGAAAATGATCTTTGCAGCTGCGTTCTGATGAATATGGATTGTATTTGTCAAGGACAGAGAAAAGATTGTTGCAGTAATTAAAGATGTGAGATGATGAGAGCCTGGACAAGAGGTTTTTAGCTGTGTGGATGGATAGGAAAGGCCATATGGTAGATATGTGATGCAGAAAGAATTGGCAAGATTTACATAGCCTGGCTGTGAAGACCTAGAGGGAGTTTTGAGTTGAGCTGATGTCCAAATTACAAGAAAGCAGGTGGGAAAGACTGTGTAGAGCTGTGGGTCTTCTGTACAGAGTTGGTAGCTGAATTTGTGTTTGCAGATGAGATTACCCAGTGGTAAGGTGTACAGGGAGAAAAGAAGGATCAAGGGAAAAAGCCTTGTGGAACCTTCCTTCCCCCAACCCCTCGTGCCCCTGAAAGTTGGAAGGGGGTTGAAAAGGATTCTCCAAAGGACACACAGAAGGAGCAGTTAGAGAAGTAGGAGCAGAACTAGGAGAGTCTAGAGTCATAGAAGTCAAAGTAGGACAAGATTTCAAGAGGAGGAGCATGGTCCTCTGTGTCATTGACTTAAGTTGTCAGGCACCAAAGAGGATGGTGCACTACTTCAGATTTTTGGCTAGGAAGAGGTAGCTCAAAACTTTGAGAGACATTTCAGTGGACTTCTAGGGGTGAAAACAAGGCTGGAGAGGGGCTTGGCTGGAACTAGAGATTGGAGAATCCTGTTCAGTGAGCTTAGAAATGTAAGGGAAATGGGGCAGTAGCTGGAGAGGCAGGTGAGATTTTTGAAGATCTGATTTTGAGATGACCGTATGCTTCTGTGCTACTGTGAGGGGAAAGAGCCGGAGGAAAGTGAGTGTTAAGTCTGAGTGCTGAATGCTGAAGATTAGAAACAGGCCTGACTGCAGATTTAATGACCTCTTTTATACCTAACGGTGACCTAAAACTTTGAGATAATGGTGATGTCATCAGCTAATGAAATAATTCTTTTAGATTGGCCAGTGATCTCAATCTTGTTTTTTCCCTCACTGCCTTTATTTAATTGCAAAACAACGGGATGAATAAAAATCCAAAAGAAGTGTGGGGTGTTCTTTTTTTTTTTCCCCAATGGTACAGTGACTATTTTCACCACTCTCCATTAATTAACAAAGGGAAACTTTTTTGCTAAAGTTGGGAAAACTCCCAACCATTTACATGCATGAACTTCTAAAAGATTTATGTTCAACATCTTAAAAAAACAAACAAACAAAAAACCCTCAGCCACAATTCCTGAGGTTAATTCTTGTCTTTCCATCAATCCTTCTTCCAGTCTGTTATTGCAAGAAGTGAATGTGTCCTTAGCCAAATCCAGACTTGTGATATGTGGTTGTTACAGAGCCAGCTTTTGAGACAGTCTGATAGCCGTGTCACATGGGGCAACAAACCAGTAAGGGACAAATTTACTGCCAGTCTCCAAAAAGTAAGCTTGTGAGAACTTGCTTCTGTTACATAAGACCTCATCTCTTTTGGGCTACTGTTACTATCATATATTTTTGTGGTGCATATACTCTGTTTGGGGAGTGGGTTGTTTTTTGTTTTGCAAGACACTGATAAGATGGCATCTCTATGGGGCAGAATTGAGATAGTTAAACTGACTTTTCAGACCTTCAGAGGCTTGGTTTCTGGTGAATTGAATGAACCTTGGCTCTGAATTTCCTGCCTTTCCTACTGCTTTTAGTTTTGTTTTGTTTTTTGTTAACTATGTTTTTGAAAGAGTCAATCCGAATCATAGAGATGCACCTGCAATCCAACATTACCTTAATGAAGCTTTTTGTTTGGTACTCTGTGGTCTCATTTGTTTTGCTCTATATTCCCGTCAATTGCAAATGCTTTGGCTGTTTGTTTAGATTTATAACTGGTAAAAGTGCTAGTCTCTAAAGCAGATCACTTTCTCAGGTACTAAGAACAGATTGCCAAATAATGCATATGTCATGGAAATTACTAGGGCTTTGGAACTTTAGCATCTCTTATCTTGTATGGCTCAGTTGATACCGTGGTATCTTTAATGTGAGTGCAGAACAGATGGGTCCTTGGTTACATAACTACCCATTCACTGAATTGGGCAGGGTTCTTAAGAAAAGTAGTATGTAATCATGTAATTATCATAATGCATATGCACAGGGGGGCTGAATTAAGGTTGTATGGAAAACCTTAAACTGTGACATGACCTAACTTCTGAATGCTTGACTTTACAACTGTGGTGTGTGGGTTTTGTTTTGTTTTTTTGTTTTGTTTTAAATGTAGATCTCTTAAGTAATTCCCAGGAGCAGCAACTGCAGGGAAAGTCCTTGCTCTCGAGCTGGCACATGCGTTTTCCGGATGGAATCTGAGGAGAATTTAGCTGCAAAACTCTAAGTCCCTAAGGAGCATTACCAACTGCAGTTTATTTTTTGGAGACTTGAAACTTGGCTGAGTTTTCATGTGGATGGCAAAAGGTACCACCACGCAACACCAGCGTGACTTCCTGGCCAAATGTCAAGTCCCTGCTCCAAAGCACAGAGGCTCTACGGTTTCTCAGCAAAATGGTTGAAAGACTTTTTTTTTAACATGGGCAAAACATATTTTTCCATAATCTTGTTCTCGCAAACAGCTGAACCGTTTTAACTGAAACTTTCCAAAAAAGCTCAGCCTGAGACAGACACCTGGCATGGGAGATTTCAGCCCAAATGGTTTACATTTGGCAAAGTTACAAGCCACTAAAAGCCAGGGTTTTATAGGAAGTTCAGGCAACCTCCTAAGAATAGGCAGCAATACCACGCCGCCTATAATAACTAATTTGGTATTAAGATTTCTTTTTAATAGGGCAGTCAAGCTCAGGAGCAAGTATGGATGACGGTACAAATAAATAACTACTGATTTTAATAAAAAATCAACGTAGTATAGCTGCAGTGGGTCTTCTACCTGCTTGCAGCTCTGTGCGGCAGACTCAGACCTATCAGTTGCTGGCTCAGGAATATACTTATCTTGCTGAAGAACCATCTGATTTTGTTCTGCATCCACAGCTGCAGGCAGGTTAGTTAGACCTCCCTCTGGCTCGAAAAGTGTTTTTTCTCTGAACTAAAAACAAACCAAAATCTTACATTTCTGGTGCAATTGGGCTTTAATTTGGCTGGATCTGTGCCAGACATTCAGTTTGTGGCGCTCGGGTCACTTAATTCTTGGCCTCCACCAGCATGTGCCCTGGCATGTTGCTTCTCAGTCCCAATATGGTGGACAAACAAGAAAAGAAGCCTAAAGGGAAAAACCTGTTCTTTTTGCACCTCTTCCCAGGGAGACCAGACAGTGAGCTTTGCTGGAATTGTGGCTGAGGGGAAAATGACTTCCCCCTTCCCTCTTGCATGTCTTGATCCATTCCACAAATAAATCACCCAGGCTTCCATCCTCTGAGTCCGGGGAAAGCCGAGCTGAGGAGACAACCTCTCATTTCCAAGAGGACCTTCTCACCTAGACTTTCTTATCCAAGAGGCATCTGGCATTTATAGGGAGAGACTGGTTCTCCCAGTGTAACGCCATTTTTCTTTCCCTACAACCAGTTGACAGTCACTGCTGGGGACTGCAATCTTGGACTTTCCATCCTCTACAAAATCCCCAGCAGAGAAGCCCAGGAAGATATCTGAATAGATGGAGAGCTGTCTAGCTGATATTTTATTCACTGGATCTTGGCCAAGTACTTCCAGGGTACTTCACTCCGGTAACAATTTAAAAGGCACTACTTTTTTTTTTTTTTTTTTACTCCCATGTACTTGCCCTTGGAAAATCTGTCTTGTCATTTGGTTTGTTGATACTGTATAATGAAGCCTTGAAATAGGAGAAAAACATGAAACGTTGTTAGTTTTGGAAGAGCCAGGTTATTGGGTCTTGGGTTTCCTTCTATTCTGTACGGCTAGTTTCCATTTCTGTATTTTCTGCTATTGTTGGAGTTGGTCAGTTTTTTTTCAGAGGAAACAAATATTTTTCAATTCTCTTTTGTGTGAGGGTTTTTTTTGTTTTGTTTTGTTTTCAGAGAAAATACCATTTTTCTTTTTTCCAGCAGTCCCATTTATAATGTAAAAAGCAACAAAGGTCCTGTGGCACCTTATAGACTAACAGACGTATTGAAGCATAAGCTTTTGTGGGTGAATGCGTCTGACTGCAGCTGTAAAAAGCAACAAACACGGCTACCCCTCTGATAGTTATAATGTAGTTTAGCAGGACCACAGGTTTTCATTGACCACTCTACCAATGAAAGTGAGCACTTAAATCTTATCCATGCTGCAGTTGACACTGGTGCTGTAAACAGCCCTGACCTAGCCTGGATTTTTCTGCATATAGTGGGAAGGGATCTTTTCCCCCTGATTGCGTGCTAAGGAACCCATGCTATATCATTACACCACAGAGTAGTCTATGGTATGGATTTATGACATCGTGTCAGGAAAAACAAAAATTCCGTGTCGCCACTGGTCAGAAAAAGTGATTTTATATAGATAGATCTTTCATAGAGCTGGAAGGGACCTTGAAAGGTCATTGAGTCCAGCCCCCTGCCTTCACTTGCAGGACCAAGTACTGATTTTGCCCCAGAACCCTAACTGGCCCCGTCAAGGATTGAATTTATAACCCTGGGCTTAGCAGGCCAATGCTCAAACCACTGAGCTATCCTTCTCCCTTAGTGGACTGTTCTACTGCACTTTCCTTTACACCATTTGTATGTTTCAGTGTTGGGAGTCTCTGCTGCTTTTGTCATTAGAAGCAAATAAATCAGTTTTTGTTAAGACGCCTACAGCAATAGATAATTTCCCCCCGTCCCTCTCCCAAAAAATTGCTGCTCTACTTGTAACTGGCCAGATACCCACAGTATTTTGCTGTCTTAAGGCCTGATCCTAAGCCTACTGAGGCCATTGTCAGTCTTTCCATTGACTTTGATGGGCTTTAGATCAGGCCACCAATGACCAAAGCTTAACTGATAAATCCAAACTTCACAATATACTTGCCTCATAAACCATCCCTTATGCCAGAATTCCCTAAGTACTTTACAAGATCCTGGGCAAGATCTGTGTCCGAAACAATAGATTGAAAAACTTAAATTTTTTTTTTTTGGTTTTAAAAACATTATATAATCAACTGAGTTTGCCTCTTTTTCTTTTTTTTTTTCTTTTTTTCTTTTTTTTTGGCGGGAGGGGGCCTGTATGCAAAGTGTCTCCAAAATAAGGGCCTAATCCTGTGAGATGATGTGTGCCTTCAGAACTCATTCAGGACTTCACTAGATCAGGACCTAAAGGTTAAAAACAACTGGAAGCACCTGCTTCCTAGGTGCTCTAGACTAGCAGTTTTGCTTTAAGTCAATAAAGCACTACCAAACCCCCTCCACCAACCCCTCAGCGTAATATTTGACAGGAAGCCAACGTAACTCCCTCGAAACTGAGGTGGCATGCCTGAGTCAGCTTAGTATGAGCTAAGAATCTGGCAGAAGTGTGAAGGCTGAAAGCGGCTCTCAGGAAAGCTATATGCTGCTAAATGTGGCATGTTTGAACACGAGACTGACATCATTATGAGTTCATAGTCACCAAAGAACAAAGTATCAGCCACAAATTGGACTGACCTAATTTTAAGTCACTTCTGAAAACTTATTAGTACATCATGAAGCTTTTGTAAGCTGCTTATTTCCATCTTAGCCTCTTGATTAAGCAACAAGTCATCCATTTCTCAGAGAACTTTCTAGTTTCTTTTCATAGGTTTCCCTCCTTGACTCTTTCTATTTTGGCCTCATGCTCCAGATGGAAGACGTGATTAGAATGACCACTTGTGGCATACCTGATATTCCAGGATCAGTCTCTAAGAAGTAGAGACTGGAGGTCAGGGCCGGCTCCAGGGTTTTGGCTGCCCCAAGCAGCCAAACAAAAAAAAAGCCGTGATCACGATCTGCAGCGGCAATTCGGTGGGAGGTCCTTCGCTCCGAGCATGAGTGAGGGACCGTCTGCCGAATTGCCGCCGAACAGCTGGACGTGCCGCCCCTCTCGGAAGTGGCCGCCCCAAGCACCTGCTTGGTAAGTTGGTGCCTGGAGCCGGCCTTGCTGGAGGTATAACAGAAGACATATGCCACTCATACATGCCTATCGGCTTCTTAGAGTGTAACTAGAAATCTTTATTTTAAAAAAAAAAAAAAGGGGTGGGGGTGTAAAATACTCCCACCTTTTGTCAAACATATTTCAGTCAAACTTTTCTTGAATCACATTGTCAAAGAAGCTCTTTATCGTCTTACAGTTTGTAATAACTCCTCTGGAAACTCAACTCTGAAATGTTTCTGTCCTAAATTTTGTTTCCCTTCATCATAAATATACATGTTGATAAATACACTTAAATTTTGGCACTGGTATTCTGGGATCTTTCTTTATGAAACTGCTTTGGGGTTTTGTTTGCTTTTGTTTTTTAACTTCTAAAAAGCGCACTCTTCCCAGGATGTTCAGGTCATGTATGATCAAGTTAATAAAACACAAAGGTATATTTGAGGTAGCTTTAGAGAAAGTGAAAAACTTGCCACTGGTGGTGAACAACCAATCCTTCCCCGATTTGCTAATTGCCTGCTAAGTAGCTGGGCCTGGCAGTTTAGGGTGAGCTTTTCAAAAGTGTTTTGCATTGGCCTTACTCTGCTTCCATGGAAGTTAATGTTAACTTTTTTTTTTCTTTCACTATTTTATTTGTTCTTGTAGAAGTAAGACCTTGAACTACTAATTATAGCATAGAACTATTATTTTTTTTGTATTCTCATTGCACCGAGGAGCATGAATCAATGGATCAGGGCTAGTATGAAGTCCAGTGCTTCTTCATTTGTCATTGAGAACAAATGCTCAACAAAATAACAGCTGCTGACCTACAGTTGCTATTTAAAGGGATCTGTAAAATCATTCATTGTGTAGCTGGAGGAATCTGAGTAAATGTAATTAAATCCAATGCTTTTGTTTTTAAATTCTTTTGTGTATATCTATTTTATAAATGTGTAGACATTTATAGGCGCACTTCAGACAATGAGTATGTCACGTAAATAATAGCCCATGTTGTTCCCTGCATCTTCAAAGCTCTGTGGCAACATTCTTGTGTTATCTGCTGCAAATTTATATAATCCCTGTGGGTAATAGATGCTCTAGAAAACACTACATATGAAAATATGCTTCCAAACTGAAAGCGTAGTAAGGGAGCCCAGCAATATTTTGTAGGGGGAAATGGTGTGGTTATGGCATTCTTCTGTATGTATCTGCTACTATATATCAGAGGTTCTGAAACTGGGGGTTGGGACCCCTCAGGGGGTCATGAAGTTATTACGTGGGGGGAGGGGGGGCGTGAGCTGTCAGCCTCCATCCCAAACCCTGCTTTACCTCCAGCATTTATAATGGTGTTAAATTAAAAACACTTTTTAATATATTTATGTGGGGGGGGTCACACTCAGAGGCTTGCTAAATGAAAGGTGTCACCAGTACAAAAGTTTGAGAATCACTGATATCTATATCTATCTATATATAGATATAGATATAAAATATTCAATTTGTATTTTTTGATAAATTAAAGGATAATAGCAATGCTTGTTTTAAAGCATTGTTTTAAAGTTGTTACTTTCCCATAATCGGGAAAGTTTTAAAAAATATATATATATTGGGGGGGGGGGGGAGAAGGGGTCAGACAATAAAAAAAGCATGACAAATGTTTCCTGACAGTAGATGTTAAGATTCAAAAAGTTAAATCTTTATGACCATTTGTTTGAATGGTTAACGTCACATGTCAATATACAAAGTGAATATCCTTTAAAGCAAACTCTAAGTTCTTAAGCAGCATTTTTCTTTCTTTGATAACAGAAATTTACAGATAGGCAATGGAAATATTTTGTCTGTGTATGCCCAGTGAAATAAACGTCTACTGACATTTATTGGTTAAAAAAATGTAATCCTTGCAAGCCTATATATATATATATGGTGCCATAGAGAGGTGCAGATGGGGCACATAAAGCAGAAGTCATATGGCTGGAAACAGTAAACCCCTAAAAATTAAATACAAATTCTGTGTTTTAGCATTCCGACTACCTGATTGACCTGCCCATTGTGCCATGTGCTCCAGCAAGTTAAATACTGTTGTGGCTTTGAGACTACTGCTAAACTTGAACCCTAAATGCAATACCAAATAAGCTCCTAGCACCTTTCATACAAGCATCTCCAAGCACGTTACAATAAGTACCTGCTGTGTGCTGTCACAGCCCTCTGTATGTCCAATAATAGAAACATCTGTTAGTACAGTGTCATTCAAATGACAAATTGGAAGTAAATGGCTGATGGGAACAAGAAGCATCCCTACAAATGATGTGCATGGGGCTAAACTTGCCAGGAAAATGTTTTCAGTTCTGATTTTTCTGAATTATCCTCTCAGATGTAAGTGTGTGTTGGTGGAAGGGGGAATGATAGGAGTTTGGCCCCTAGTCTTGGATCTGAAGACCCTCATGTAGACTCTCTCTGCATTGCAGGGGTGAAAGTAAAATTGATCTCTTACTGGTACAGGGGCTGGTGACTTGGGCAGAAGGGGCGGGACTGGGGGTCAGCGTCCCCCCAGTCAGCCCTTCCGCGCTGCCTGGCCCACGCTGCCTGGGGCTCCAGCAGCGATTTAAAGGGCCCAGGGCTCCAGCTGCTGCTGCAGTAGCAGCGGCCGGAGCCCTGGGCCCTTTTAAATCACTGGCCC